AGGAATGGTATTCCTGACTCCAAAAGAGAAACTGTTACACTTCATTGAAAAGCGTTGTAGATAATTTGATCTAAACCTTTGTTTTCAACTTTGTCTAACTGGAACCATACATGAATTACCTTGTTGCAGTCAGGAGAATAAAAGTAGGATTTGCATGATCAGGCTTTTAAGGCACAACATTCCTTTACAGACAAATGTGGAAACTCTCTCTAAATTGGGGAAAAACCTAACCCAAAAGCAAAAAAACCCTTTCTTCCTCCACAAAGAACTACTTGATTTTTAAAATGGAACATAGGTCCTGTGAAAAGTATAAATTCTTCTCTTACACTGAAAAACATTAAGGAGCTTAATACAGACAAAATACAACTAAACTCGCCTCCTTGAAGTTCTGTTGAAGTAATTTAGAATCAAGAATGGGTCGTGATGGTTATTTTCACCTAAATTTATCTGCCTCTTTTTGATTAGCTTTTATTATTTTAATGGTGGCTCCTCCCACCCTCCCTTAGTGCTTTGGCCAGAATCACCAAATTGCCTATATTTTATGTAAATGAATTGTTACACCATAAAATGACATACAAATGTGTCTACCACACAAAGTCCAATAAATAGTGTGAATAAACCCATTCTTTTCAATGTAATGGCATCTGAGAGCAGCCTGGGAAACACGGGGCTGACAGATGTGAGCCCATGACAAGACCTGGAAAATAACTGAATGAGGAGCACTCTGACAGACCGCAGTTAATTGACTTAGAAATAACTCCTTTTTTTCACAGTTCTACTTGGCTGAGCAAGAGTCACAAATTGCTGTCTTAAACCTTTTAATGGGACAAAATCGCTGCCAATGAAAGTCTACATGACATGAACTTTGAATAGGAGTCATACAATGACCACACCGTGACACATTTTTAACTGACATATTGGTTATTTGAGAAGTAGCAGCCGCTCAGTTGGGAGGGAAGGGAGGGAGTCAGAGAACAGGGTATAGAAACACAGTCTGTTAAACACTAGCCAAATACAATTTTATTTTAGGAAGAGAAACAAGTATTAGGAAGCATCTTGATAAACACTTTCACATATGTTCCCAGAGAATATGATTTGGAGTCAGAGTCTGTTGTTCCTTTTCCTATGAAAAAGTGATCACAAAGCTAAATCAAGAGGAAATTACATTAGCAGGAAAACAGACCTTGTATGAGTAATGAGCATTCTGGCTTCCCTGGAATTTCAGTACCTGCTCAAGACCCAGGCTATAGTCAGAATCAGGTTTACACAGGTTCAAAATATCTATTTGTCTGACTTTGGAAACTGAGGCCAAATGCTGTCAGGCCTAATTGACCTCTTAGTCCCAGGGACATCATGGGACGAGTAGTTAGTGATGAGGATTTTTTTCCTAGTTTTTGTACTACCTGCCACTGCTGATTGTCTGACTCTCTGGGAACTCTTCAGAGGGTTTATTCCCTAAAATCTTCACCAGCCTAACTCACTTGGAGAATGTTGAATGAAAAGTAAAACTTGTAACTTGTTTTGTGGGTGTCTTTGTTTTGGCTAATTTTTAAGTCTATTGAGCTGCCAGAGCAGCTCCCCGTTTGAGCTGCTTTCCACTGGTAAAGGGTACGTAGCTCAGGTGAAGGAGAGAGATAGTTTAGGATGGCATTTGACAGGCCAGAGAATGCCTATGCAGCTCTCCTCCTTTTCTCTCTTCCCCCGTTCTCATATAACTGAGATATGCATTAAAAGACCTGTTATTTGTACACTATAGCATCGTTATTTCTGCCTTCCTTACTGCTCGCTTTAACTTTGAGCACAGAACAGAACAGTTAGAGCTAGGGTTTGCCATGACTATTTATTGAATTCAAAATATCACAATTCATTCACTACTGAAAAGATCAACAACAGTCAACTTCTAAAACAGGTACAGTAACAGTCATAAAACAGATGGCATAAAATCTATATCTATTGCCCTGACAAGGATGTCTAGCTGACATATCTATATGAAATAACATGTTAGTATACATACTGAAGTACATGGCTGATATGTCAATACAATCAACAGGTTTGTAATTACATAAGCATTTATTTTTCTAACTGCAGTATTTTACTGATGTGTTTCATTGAAGAAAAGATTAAATTTAAACAGATTAGTATATTTTCCAGTGGGCAAGCGTTTCTCCATTTACTCTTACTTGTACGTCTTCCCCATCCTCATGGCATTACTAACCACCAGAATTAGTATTAAAATACAAGTATAATTAAAACACATGCTTGTATCTACATTTTGTTTAAAACCAGCACAGCTTTGATAGTTACTGGCCAAATAAAAACACTTGAAGTGTGTTGAAGAGGCTTTTGAACCATTATCATGCTGTAACTATTTTTTCTGATGTTATATCACCCCCATGTTTCGATATATCCAAGATATCTGAAGGTAACCAAAATAACAGTTTTCAGAAGCACAGCAATTCAGTTACACATTTCTTATTTCATTCCAAATTAACAGAACCTCATTCTATCATTTCTAGTCATTCATAGCGCAAAAGAAAACAAACAAAAAAGAAAATCAGGAATACAGCGGCAGGCTCATTTCACTGCCTGTGGTCATCCAGAGCACCTTATGTGTTACATACTGTTGGTCATACACCACTGTCACATATAAAGAATCCCACCTTGTCCAACATGGCAGGAAAAAAAGCGCTTTACTTTGCTTGAGTATCACTCCAGACTATAGCTAAAGAAGCCCATAGACTTAGAGGTTAATATTGACACCCATTTCAAGGCAAGAAGTAAGCAATAGAAAATCTGGACTTTCTCCACTGCACAAAGTGCTGGAGCACTTTTTTCCCCCCATGAACAAGGGGCAGAGTACTCCTTCAGCACCCTGCTGGGTCAGTCTGCAGCCCTGCATTACAGCTAAGCAGCTAAAGGGACAGGATTTCTCAGAGGAAACTACTCTTGTCCCTCACTGCTGAAAAACTGGAAGTACAAAAAAAGAAAAAAAAAAAAAGAAAAAAAAAGGCAAAAGGGGAAAAAAGGCAAAAGGGGAAAAAAGGCAAAAAAAAAGGAAAAAGGAAAAAAAAGGAAAAAGGAAAAAAAAAGGAAAAAGGAAAAAAAAAGGAAAAAGGAAAAAAAAAGGAAAAAGGAAAGGAACGATTTGCATTCCTTGTTGGTTCCTAGCAGGACACATCTTCCTTCCACACCTTTTGAAGTGTTTTGCTTAATTTGGTAGTTGTAGTGCTGACTGTGCTTTGGAAAGCTGCAACCCTTGAGATAGTACAACTACTCCAAAGACAGCCATGGCACTTTTAGGTCCACCATCAATTCCATATCCTATTCTGGACAAAGAAATGGAAGTGCCTTGTCAGACTTATGCTACCCTTGACAAAGTACTAAGAGCTTATAAACCAAGTAGAAATAGAGACACCAAGCCTGAATTCCTGCAAGTCTCTCTAAAGCACTTTGGCTAAATGTGAAATGTAGTCACAGAGGCTCCTCTGAGCCTTCTAACACTTCCCTTCTAAACTGCCAGCAGTTTTATTTCACGAAGTCCCATAAGGGGGAGCTTTACAAACCAAAGTCCAGGAATTCTCTCATGTGAGCTTCCCTGTTCTTCATGGGCTACTACAAGAAATGAAAAGAGCTAGCATGGCAAGTCCAGGGGCATCAACAAGATACGGGCCCAATAACTATGAGATCCAAATCCCTCGACTGCCTACTGATTGTTTTAAAGTTGTAAGAAAGAAATGCAGAAGTACAGAGGAATCTGCGTGGCGAGGACTCCTGAAGACATACCACAACCCAAAGCAAAGAACACCAGGAGAATTAAAAGCCCATTCCAGTGGGAATGGAAGTATATTCTCCTTTGTGCTAGTTCCCTGTACGTTTCAAAAGACTCACCTGTCTCACTGCAGGCTTCGTGCAGACAGGAAGCAGCATTTTTTATGTACTGTGCACACTGTCTTGAGACTCCTCAAATCAGAGTCCCAACAACATGTAGGAAGTCCAGTTTCTACCACCTGAACAACTAAAGATACACCAGCAGAGAATATCCCGCCTCACAAAGAGGAAAAGCTTTATGACAGCGGACCCTGCTTGACGTGAAGAGCATATTTATGCTGCCTAAGCAGGCCAAAAATGCACTCCTGGAACTCCTCAGCACACAAAAAATGAACTATTGAAGAGCCTTCTGTATGAAGATGTGAAGCATGTTCTGGGTCAGAATATGAGACAGAATGCTTCACCCCACAAACCACATTACTACAGGGAGCACACTACTGCTCTGCAGGGTGTCTTCCTAAAGACTCTCTGGCGTATTCCCAGTCTCTTGAGTCGATGTCATTTATTTCCTGGTGATTCTGACACCATTTCTTATCCATCAACTCTAAAAGTATCTGCTTTTCTATTCTGATGAGATTTATCATATTGGCTTTTGTAACAGCATCATAAGACCTGAACTTAATGATTTTAACAGTTCATTCTGTACCATCTCATGGAGTCATACACTAAGAACATGTGTATTGCAAATCCTGACTACGGACAACAGTCGGCAGCAACACCGAGACCTACCTCAAAGCCTGGAACCTGAATTTTTCAAGGAATTCTTGCTGTTTCTTTCTCAAAGGGGTTACTGCTACCCGTGAAACACATTTAGACCTGAAAATTAATTCTGGGGATCCTTCACAGCAAACCACAGAAAAGCCACAGGTCTACTGAAGACATCTAACAATGGTTTGTACCATAACTTTACTTTTAGAATGACAATCTCAAGGTGTTTGCAAACTCTTTCATTGTAGTTTTTACTATAAATCATCAACATTTTACTAAATGACTATCTAACAGCTTTAGCAATTCAGACCAAAGAATCGGCAGATTTTCCAAACTGCTTAAAAGAGCTAATAATTTTTGTCTCAATCTTCAAGACTTCTTAGACTAACACATACAAAGAGTTACTGCAGGACTGATTATCTGCATGTAAGTACTTAGGCGAACTAAATTAAGATAACAAGACCTTACTGTTTCACTTGGCAGAGAGAGAGAACAGTGCCACTGGAAAATAACCAGAAGGCAGGGTACAAGGCTTCAGTAAACTGGGTTTTGAATTTATAGATCAAGTTATGTTTCTCCCCAACAGCCATGAAAATCACAAACCCTCCCTCGCAGTGGAGCAGCACACCAATCTTGGTAGCCTTCACATTGGGTAAGCACTTTTCAACATCATTATGCCAGGATGATATTTTGGAATTAAACCACTCAATACACCAAGAACTGCTGTTCCTCCCCAGACGGCTCTCCGGCCCCTGCCGCTCCATGCTGCCATAGCAGATGCCAATGCCACAGAAGCTGTTCTGCTGCAGTTCCACTTCCCAGTAGTGGATGCCTCTTTTGAAGCACTGGAACCCCAGCACTTGGGAACAATCAGTGAAGCGCTGAGGATGGTGGTTATAATTCAGGGGGGTGTCCGAGACAGACATCCTGGTATATCTCTCAGACAGAATCACTTTGTTATGAGCAGTGTTGTAATCCAGTGTGATGTTAGCAGCATCTGCAATGACATAAATCATCTGAAGGTACTGAGGAGCAAAGCACTTTTATTTATACCATCCTGCCTAGGCACTTGTTCCTGTGCGTGTTTATGTCCCTGATCTGCTCTCCTCCACAGGGCAGGCAGTTCTTAGGGCCACAGCAATAGCTGCTGAGTTCAACTGCAGCTCTGTGTTCTTCATGGGCTGGCAAATGAAGGGCAGGTTTCCTTCCTTCCTAAATCCCCATGGGATTTCTTCACCACCCGAGCATACGCTGGCAGAAGATTGCCAATCCATCAGTGAAAGGTGTACCATATTGTATATCATCTGGTATAGCATCTTAAGCCAGCCATCACTGGGCTCACATAAAAGTTTGCATTTCATTTCAAAGAAAAATCCAGTGCATTACATCATATTTCTAGGCTGCCCTAGTGAAGTCATTTTGGGGGAAACCAAAGAGGTTACTGAGGAAATTTCACTTACCTTTGTAAAGACACATGAACACCAAAGATAAATTTGATTCATCTGGCAAAAGAACCACTTAAAAGCCTCTTGCCCCCTTTTCCTTCAAAAAATTTTCCTTCATTTGTAACAACTAGTTGATAACCTACCAAGCTAAACCCCTTCAAAAGTATTTTCATCAGATAGATAGATAGATAGATAGATAACTACAGAGGGCACATAACACCAGTGCAGCAAGTTCATCTTTAAGTAACGTAATGTTGTGTGGCTTACACTGCAAAAGCTCCTCTCTGGATTTCTTCAGAAAGCTGTCAATAAGCTCTTTAGTTGAAACGGCAGCTGCAGCATTTGGTGTTCCCGTGGCTGGCGCTGTGTCGACAGAAGAAAAGAAACTTAGGTCAGTTGACAAGACACCCTGCATGCTTAACACACAGTCACAGACACCCTCAGGTTGGAGTGGACCTCTAGAGATTATCTGATTTAGCCTCCCAGTCCAAGCAGGGTTAACTTCAATATTAGCTCAGGCTGCTGACAGTCTTGTCAAGTTTTGAAAATCCCTTGTTGTCTCTGGGCAACCTCTTTCTGTGCTTGACCGCTCTCATAGCAACTAGTAAGAGCCTTCTCGGGGCAAGAGTTGAACTTTTGCTTAATACACCAACACTAGTGACCATCTACTTACCTTTTTAAGAGCAGTCAATGAAAATTAGAATAAGTGTGCTGAAAGTTTGGACTCACCAGCTTTAACAGGTTTCTTTTTCTCTTCTAAAGGGGGAGAAAAAAATAATTAAACTGTGAGTTTTACTGAGACTGAAAACCACTGATAGACTATGCCAGCTGTAACACCGTCATCATGGCTTTTCTGAAAAAAGAAAATGGCAGCAGTAGATCAAGCTGACAGTCCAGCATGTTGAAGCCATGTACAAATACACCCATACTGGAAAGCTACACATGAAACACAATGTACTATCTGCTTCCTATTTCACAGGGTCATAAGCCTGGAAGGAGCTTCATCTCTACTCCAGGATGCAGCGTGTTAGGGCAAGTGGTAATAAGCCTGTTCCCATGAGGCACATAGACTGTTCCTCTTCTTTTTACAACAGATCTTCTAGAGCAGCAACAGGAGCTACAAGTTCATTCAGCTCCAGCAATCCACAACAGACCCTGCTGAGTGCTCCACACCCAGGACTTGTGAATGGAAAGGACCGTGTGTCAAGAGCTCAGTGGAAGTAACAGAAGTAGTTTCGTAACACTTGGAAGAGAATATGGAAGATTTTCCAAGCAGGCTGGAGTGCCACATTAATACCAGTATCTGGACAAAACACCACTGAAAGGCCCCAGTATAACCTGCCACAAAGACTGCCTCCATCACCACAGCCTTAGACTGTAAGCGAGACGTGGCCAGCCAAATATTTGAGGAAGGCTGCCATTAATCACCACTTACTGGTATCTGCCTCCACCCGCAAAGTGTCTTGAGCCTGGTAAAGGGTCTTCTCTTTGTGGGTATGCTCTTGTGAAGAGGGGGAGGAAAAAACCAGAACATTAACAGCTCATAAGCAGGATTCAGTACATACAAATCCATCAAACAAGCCAGCAGATGTTTAGTACAAATGAAAAAAAGCCCTGCAAGAACCAGAGGGTGGGGAGGCTCTGCTTTGCTTTACAGCCTGCACTGACACCGCTGCAGGTGCACGCACACACCGAGGCCAGTGCACCTCCGTCTCTGGGCAGCTTGCTGCCTTACAGCTCACAAGGCACCCGTCACTAAATAGCCCAAACACCCTCCTTTCCCATGCCGAAGTGCTCACTACAGATAATCACTGCATCACCACGAGAGCAAACAGCTCTTGAGTAACTGCTTGAATTTTTATTTAATGGTAAAACCGTAGTTAGGAGAGGGATTATGTTCTTTAGTACTTACGAGTTTTTTTCCCAACAAAGGTTTTGTTTGGAGAAGCTGCTGGAAAGGGCTTAGTTTTCCCAGGTGTCATTTTTGCTGCAATGGCAATATTTTGCGTTATGGTTTGTGTTGCCACGAACAGTAATGCATGAGCAAGGACATTTTTCAATCTTATTTTTCAGTCATTCAACTAGAACTGAAGTGATATGCGGCAGAGATGGAAACTGCATAGAAGATACCCGTGCCCCAGTCCAAAAGATATTTTTGCTTAACCGGGTAAGTAGGGCTTTGTTCTACAACACTTACGCAATCAGCACCTTTGCAGTTGCGTAACCATAGTCCTATCACTCAGAAGCATTTTATGTCTCCCCTCAAATCCACATCCTAACTGCACCCAATCTTGCTACATAATAAAAACATAAATTCCTAAGGAATAAAGGCTGAGTTGTGCCAGAAGGTCATAGTATCACGATACTCATCAGTGTATCCAGGTATAGATAAAAGACGCTGGCATACTTTTTCTCCTAGTTTAGCCCAGACTATAGCATTTTTTTTAAATGGAGGACCACAGAAGTTGGAAGACAGTTTATATTAACCAACTGTATTTGCTGCACTATTTTTTTTTTAAGGATTTGGGATTGGAAGGGGAAGATGCCTCATTTGAACTCAAAGCCAAGGCAGAAAATGCCCGTTCTCCCAGTGATACGGTACCTTCTGCTCTTGCCTCCTTACTCTGAGTCACTGAAAGTTTCACAATGTCTTTAAGGTTAACGGCAGACTGGTAAGTGGACTGTATCAAGTTTTGGTCCATTTCAATTACAGGGACGAAAGCATCTTTTGCTGACATTTGTTGCAGTGCTGCTGCTCTCTGAAATGAGAAAGAGAAGATCTCATGCAGAACACCTTGTGTGGCAGACACAGAAAAACACAGCCAAGTAACTTGTGTTACTTGGGTTTTGTGCATTCATCTCAAATTCAAAGGAGCAAGGGCTAGTCAGACGTGACCCGTGGCAGGATTTCAGGAGCAACCTGTATGAGTTAATTCTCAACTGATATCTAAAGCAGTGAGAAAGATCTACTAGACGGTGTCACGGCATGGAGCTGCCACACCTCATGGAGATGTGTTCTCTCACTGGCCCCTCTGCTTGCGGCAGAGGCTGAATTGGGGGGAGTTACCAGACACCACTTCCTTTCAGCACCCTCTCATTGATATTTGTGTACTTGCCAGTACATCCTTTCACAGCAGGTTCTTGCACACGACTGCATTGTCATTTGACTGAAAGTGTCTGGAGAGCAGGACTACCACAGCAGGTTTTTGTGATTCTGCATTCCAGAAACACAAAGAATTGGATTCACATCTAAAGGACATATTACCTTCAAAAACAGAACGTCATCACCTTCAGTCAGTGCCATCTCAATCTGATCTTTGAGGGACTGAATTTCCTTCTTCTTAGATCCCAGAATACCATAAACATAGTCAAACTTATTGCAAACTCTTTTTTCTTCATCTGCAATTACTTTTAAGGTGTAATTTTCTTTTTCTTCGATTAAAGCTTTAATTTCTGAAAACTCACTTCTGATCAAATCTTTCTTTCTGGAAGCTGTCTCCTGGAGCAGACAAGAACAGACAGACACTGGTTTCAGAAGAACAGTTTGTGGACAAAAGTACTGCTTACTACAAGAAAAACCCAAGCCTTTGAGGAACACATAGACTTCAATTACTTGAAACAGGCAATAGAAAAGCTATGTATTTCTATGTAGTTTGGAAAGAAAACTCATTTACTCCCAAGAAATCAGGCCAGTTGTCAGTCTCCAGACCCCTGTTGCAGGGGCCACTGGGCAGAGGCCAGCTCAGCCCTGCCATCTAGCTGTTCCTGGCACCAGGACGGGGCGGTGCCACCGTGAGCTCGGACACCGCACATCCACTTGCACAGCTGTTAGCCTCGGAGATGTGGCATCTCTGGTTAATATGAAGTAATTCCTGATCCTCCGAGAGATGTTCCAGAGGAGCGCAGAAGTGCTACCCCAGCGACTTTTCAGTTTTTTTGTCTCTACCACTTGGTTCTGAAAGGATGGTACAAGTGAGACGTATCCAATCCAGCCGTCAGCACTAACAGAAACCCCGACCATCAACTAAGAGCAAGGATTGGTTGTATTAATTTATGGGGAAGAGACATCCCAACTTCCTGCACTGGTGCAGCCATGACAGTTCACTAATCCTTCAGCTTGGGCTGCATACATATGCAATTTTCAGTGCAACAGAAAAGGTCAGGTTTGAGCCCCAATACAAGTCAGATGCATCAGCACGTGTGGGCATAAAGCCCATGCACAGTGGTTGGGTTACTCCCATCTCCCACGGAGCTGCCTGGCTCTGCCAAAATGCCTCTTTTCTGCGCCTTCCCAATAATGTCTTCTCCTGCCAATGCAATCTCAATTGTCGCAACAGCACAAGCATCAACAACACGTAGTGGCCAGCGTATGCCAAGCAACCCAACAGCATTTTGAACAGTTACCCACTTACAACAGTTTGGCTTTGGTTTGTTTTCACAGTGTTCATCGCTCGAGCAGCTCTCTCACTCTGATTATGCAGCTCCATCAGTCTCTTCTTCAGCGCAGACTGCAACAAGAAGAGATCAGAAACTATGTCAGAGAAACAGTTGCCATGTCTGCTCTCAGTCAGGTCATGCTTACTGGAGTAAGAACCGTATTTACAGAAAGTTTTAAATAACCCCTGTAAGCATGTAGCACTATCAATTTAAAACCTACAGCTCCTTAACCTTACAGGATGTAAAAGTGCTCTCCTGGACACGTATGTCTTGTGGAGCCAGCACCTCCCCGCAGCTCCACCTCTCCCAGCAGCAAGATGCACGCTGCTGACTCATTCTTTTGATAAGGACTGAGCACTTTTGTCAGCACAGCAGTTCCCAGTGCTAAGAATAAACTTTATGTTAGCTCTTAGGTTGGACTTTGGGCACTAGGTTAACGCTACTGCTCACCCCTCTCGTTTTGACTGAGAATTTTATTGCTCAGATGTGAGTTACCTCTTCCTTTAGTTCAAAATGCTGCTAAGCTAAATCAGGGAGGACTTCGCAGGGAAAACAGTATACACCAATCAGATGAAAAGTTTTGGTGGTCAAACCCTCAAGTGTGCTTTACTCCTCTACCCTCTGACTTTCAGCTGCGCTGTGAGATGCAAAGGCCAGGCTTCCTTCCCTTCCAGAGGGAGGTCCTTCCTTCCTTTCCTTTCCTTCCTTCCCCGTGGAGAACCTGCTCCTGGCTTTTATCTACGTGCTAGAGCTCTCCCTAGGCTACTTTTATAATCCTTTGCTTCATAAGAACACACACAGAGCAACGTCTGTCTACAGTCCCTCAGCCACGCAGCAAACCCCGTGCAGTGAGCAGCAGAGGAGGCTCGGAGTCGGGGCGACTGCCGCAGAGGCGGGAGGTCTCACCGGTCAGCCCAGCTCGGGGCAGGAACTGTCAACCAGCCCCACGACAGCCCCTTCCCCCGGGGCACCATCTTGGAGAGGCGGAAAACGCAAGGAACAACGCCGACGATGTGCTCGAGCACAGGCGGGAGGGCAGATGACGGTCTGCCAAGGCCAGGCATGGGATTTACACCCCGGGTCTCAGTCCGG